TGGTACAGTTGATTTGAAGATGATATTATAATTTTTTTTAAAGTTAGGTCTAATGAATTAAACTTATCTTTAATTATTAATACACTGACAATAACAACCCCTCTCCATAAGAATGCTTTGTGCAATCCTTCCATGTTCAAATCGCTGTTAGAGGGAGCTTTCCTTATTTTTAATAGCAGAAAAAGAATTGAAACTAGGTATACGGTAATTGAACTGTACCTATCTTTAAATCCTTAGTGGATATGTTTTACTTGTACATATCTTTAAATCAATTGAACATATCTTCCAGGACAGATGATAAAAACAAATCTTTGTCCAAAAAAAAAAAAATAATAAAATAAAAATTAAAAAAAAAAAAAAAAAAAAAAAAAAACGAGTCATTTTCAATGTGTAAAATGAACAAGTTTAACCGCGTAGTTTTTTTTTTTAATTTTACAAAGTTTCACAAAATTGTAAATTGAAGTGAAAAATGTTTGTATAGATTAATAAGAATGGCTGCAGATAGCTATATTTTTGAACATCATAGAAGGTTTACAATTCCTTAATATTTTGGAAATTTATTAGATGCTTCATTTGCAACAAAAATAGGCTCGGAAATACATACCATTCCAGACATACAGTTTTTTTGTATCATCTGTCCTTAACTCAGTCATTTTTAAATGAACTGAATATAGATATAATTCCATTGAACCTCGTACTTTCAATTGAATTGAAGATAGGTTTAATTCTGTTAAAGATAAGTGTAATTTATTTGAACATAAGTTTAATTATTCATAGATAGGTATTATTATTTAGACCTATCTTTAATTCATTTAGGGCTGTACCTATCTTCAATTCATTTAGAGATAGGTTCAAATATTTGAATATATGTTTATTTGGCGTTCCATAGAAATATGTGTGCGTTGACGCAAATAGTCATTTATAGAATATCTATATTTTATGAACATAAATGACTGCACTTTTTAAAATGATTTGTATTACATGCACTTTTTCCTCTTTTCCCGCTTCTTTTCGTAAGTTTGTTAAAATATTCTAGATATTTTTTATGTTTACTTCAAATTACTAATCGTTTATGCAGAACATGTTCTAGTCCTAGCATATTCTTGTACTTGTTAACAATGTCAGAAATGTAAAATAATCTTATAGTTTAACCTGTTTAGTGCGAACACGGGTATAGCGAATTTAACATAAAAAAATGTCGGGGATACCCGAATCTCTAATCTTTAACATTTTATAGTTATAACGAACTTTGATTAAACAAATTGCTAGATATGAGGGAACAGATTTTGTGTTCCCTAGAGGTAAAAATAACCACATTTATACATGAATTTTCAACAAATTTATAATATCTCATTTTTTATATTCGAAAGCCAATTCCCATCCCCGGCCTATAACTTTAACACTTTAGAATCTTTGTAAGGAAGCTATCACATTGTTTATATCTTTTTTTCTGATCAAGTATTCTTATTTTTAGAAGATATTTAAAAAAGTTGTTTCAATATATGCATGGATATTTCTGCCCCTTGTGTGCAAGTTATTTTTCTATCAAATATGTCGACATGCAAGATAGATATGTTAACATGCAACATAGCTATATCAACATGCAACATAAATATGTTGACATGCAAGAAAATTGCAATAAAATAAAAATTTTAAAAAATCTTCAAAAATCTTAAATATTGCCCACATGTGACATTCAACATGCTAAATGTTACTTATTTATGTTAACGTGCAAGATAAATATGTTGACATGCAACTTAGATATGTTAACATGCATCTTATTTATGTTGACATGCAACTAACTTATGTTGACATGCAACTTATTTATGTCGACATGCAACTTGGTTATGTTGACATGCGAGATAAATATGTTGACATGCAACTTATAATTTGCATGTCGGCATAACTAAGTTGCATGTTTACATAAATAAGTTGCATGTCAACATATTCATCTTGCCTGTCAACATAAATAAGTTGCATGTCAACATAAGTAAGTTGCATGTCAACATAAAAAAGTTGCATGTCAACATATTTATCTTGCATGTCAACATAACTAAGTTGCATGTCAGCATAAATAAGTTGCATGTCAACATAAATAAGTTGCATGTTAACATATTTATGTTGCACGTTAACATAAATTAGTAGCATCTAGCATGTTGGATGTCACATGTGGGCGATATTTGAGATTTTTGAAGATTTTTTATAATATTTATTTGATTGCAATTTTCTTGCATGTCAACATATTTATGTTGCATGTTGACATAACTATCTTGCATGTCAACATATTTATCTTGCATGTCGACATATTTGATAGAAAAATAACTTGCACACAAGGGGCAGAAATATGCCACCATACATGGAATATATGGAGAAAACAAACAATATTCAAGCTCCAAAGTCCATTAAACAATACAGATCGGGAGCAGAACAAACATGGACCTCTAAAACATCAGAGGTTGGATCAGGTGACGTGGAGGAGTGAGCATCCTTTGCCAACTGGTCACATCCGGTGTGTGCTACTTGTCATGATCGGGAAATAACGGAAAAATCTATCGTCAATTCAGTGTGTAAATAATGGTCTTACAGTTAGTTAGGAAAACGTCAGTCAACATTTGACTCAATGTTACATTGTATTTGCTGACAAGGTCATTGTATCGATCATAGAACTTACGAAATGATGATATTAAACGAGACTGCTGATATTCTAGTTTCATCAACGTGTTTGTCAATAATTTACCTAGTTTAAATCGTTTATACGTAGAGCATGCCCTTGCGTATTAAATAAACTGAGAGATATAAACCTCACATGCAGGTGATGAAGGTTTATTGCTGCATTAGTAAGGGAAGTTGACGATAGAAAAGTTAGTCATCACATTTATCAGAGAGCTTTGTTGTTAGATTACCATTAACGCCTTTTTCTAGTAAAATATCCAAATATGATCGAAACAGATGTGTCGGACTTACTTGGATATATCGTGTCGACATAAGAATGCAAATCACCTTTGTTAATTGACAATACATTTTCGATATATCTAAATGTCGAGTTAAAGGTCACAGTCAGTGTTTTCTTCTTTTCATGTACAAGATTTTGAAAAATTCGGCTTCACATGAATAGAAAAATAGTTTTGCTAATAATGGGGCATGTATTAGTATGTCGTGATGCTGAGAAAAAATGTGTACTTATAATTTGAGATTCAAAACATATTTTAAAACATACATACCTGGTATATTTCTCTTCTCAGTATATACTTCCTTGGTGGATGTCGCCACAGTCCCACCAAAGATCATAATGAAACAGAATTGCAACCCGTTTTAATTCATTTCTTTGGTTTTAGATATTCGAAACTTTATAGAGCAGTGGAATGTAGAAATAGTATGTATCTTAATTTGTAGCAAAAATAACATATAAAATTCGAAAAACATTTAGTTATACAATCTTTCTAAAGTTTACTTTAAAACTCTGAGATCATAAACATTAATAATATAAACTAAAGTTGAAATACAACGAATTTAAACAAAATAAATTATGGAATATATATATATATATATATATATATATATATATATATATATATATATATATATATATATATATATATATATATATATATATATATATTTGGCTATAAATTCTCACTTTTTAAACCAGCATGCCCATAGTTTTTCGCCTTTCCGAAACTGCCCTGGCTGTTGTAGAGGTCCTTCAAAATTTAACGACTAGATATCCATTTTTTTTTTCCTCAAGAGGGAAAGAAGAAATGATTTTTAAAATTATTTTAAAAGTTTAATTACACTTTTACGTCTCTGGTTCTCCTTAAAATACAGCATGCTTTCATAACAATTTATCGAGACACAAATTATATGAAGATCTAGTAAAGATGTTATAAAAAATATATGATTCTTAAAGCTCGTGAAGTTAGATTATTAAACCCAACACAAACATTTCGGTAGTGATTGATTTAGAAGAAGGTTTAAAATATTAACAGACCAGTAAAAATTTGAAATCAATGAATTTGTATACCAGTACTATTCGTGTTTAAAAATATACAAGGATTGTGATCTGAACATCTATAAGTGTAGTGAATTTTAAAATCCTAAGGTGTCTATCGCATGCACAAAATATCTTCGTTTCCAACTAAAAAAAATATTTCATTTCTGTTCCTAAATTAAAAGTTAGAAGCATAGGCCCTATATACACTGTAATTCTATTATTTCTTTTGATATTTACAGCGTTTCTGAGGATAGGATGCAAATAAATATATAAATTCATTAATTAAATTTAAAATGAAAAATTAATCAATAAAAAAAAGAAAGAATTAATCCGTGTTTTTCCAAATCTTAACTTAATAATTGTGATAAATTTGTTTGTTTTGTTAAAGTATGCTTTTTTTTTTTTTAAAGAGGAGTTGAAATTCCCCCGTACGTGAAAAAGGGATCTTGCTCTCAATAAGATGGTCTGCTGTGGTATTTAGTGACCATGCGTCTTTTTCCTCATTTTTTGTGTCATTCGGTACAATATTTGGGTGTTATAACGACTGCATGAAGGTTTTACATCGTATTGAATTTACATCTAACACACCCACCACTCCATGCTGAGTTTGACATAACGTCTGCGGACGAACAGATACAGTTTCAAACGTTCAGTGAATATGACTGCATTCTGTCCTAACTCCCAATTAGTCGTAATATAGCATGCCTTAAAACGTAATTCAATGCTTGGTCCTCAATCCTAGGACCACAGCAGGATCAAAATGACAGCATTGTTGTCTATCAAACGTGTGATAATTGTATGTCTATCTCACAGTGTGGAAAGCACGTGAGAATTGGTTGGGTGCAAAATATATCCAATATAGGAATACACCTTTCCATTGGCTGGACTCCGAATTTTTGTTTATATTGTTAGCGTAAGGCTCGATCACAAATATATGTCACTTTCATTGGGTTTTCGACAGTTTTTCCACGCCCATGATATCTGCAACTTTTGTTTACTTTTGAAAATATCTAATTGTTTTTCCCCCGAAAATCCTATAAAGTTACATGAACACTTACGGTTTGTCATATTTTCTGCCGTTTCCTGAGAGGTAAGAAATTTTATGTAGAAAATGTTCTGCTGATCAGTAAAGTCATTAATTTTAAAATTAATTTACCTTTAATTCAAATATAAATTAAAGGAGGAGAAACAACACGATAAATAAATTATGTTGCATAATTCTGTTATATCCGTACTGCATAAACTGTACTTTTTAAAAAAAATATATTAAATAAGTTAACAGAAAGTAAATTATATTGCATGCGAGTTTATGTAAAATGTTCAATGAAAATTGAAAAGATATCATCAAAGGTTCAAGTTGTAAACCACTTATCTAGCAATAAGTCAACTTCATTCATACTTTAGTTTAAATCGATTGGTGTACGCTAACTGAGAATATCTTGTTTATTTGGAACTAAATTCCTTGTAATGAAATATTTTAAAAATCAATACTTGAAAGTTGAAACAAATTCTGCTTCGATATATTTTAAAAGTTGATTTTACTTGCTTCTTTAGTTTACATTTTTAGTACTCGTATCAACTCAAAACAGGAAAGCAATATCTTTGATTTGATTTTATTAATAATTGAAATTGTTCCAATAAAAGATGTATTATAAAATTGGCAATACATGTATATTTTTTTTAAATGATTAAAGAACAAATTACAAACTAGAAAATTATGAACTACACAAAAAATTACATAAAGCCCATTTTGCTCTAATTTCTATATTTAGGCGTACTTCGTGGCAATTTATGCTGTCGTTTTCTCTATTCATCTTCTAAGCAATTATTAATTACATTAACATCTGGGCGACACTGCGTTGTTTTCTGGGAACGGGCGAGCGTGTCCTGCTATCCACGTGCTCTAGATATACTATGGATTTTCTTATCATGTTCCGTGTTTTCTTTAGTGTAGTTCCTATTACTGAGTTTATTAGGTCAGTACTGATACCATGCAGGAACTTAGAAAATAATTTTGTTGGTAAATAAATAGAAAAGATTTGTTACTATAAAACTCACCTGAGGCTTTTTTAGTTGTTTTAAAGTTTTGTTTCGTTTGAGGTATAATATTGTGTTTTTGGTATTTGTTTTATACAGAAGTTGATACTTTGCTGCCATGTACCTGAGAGAAATAGCCCTTCTTCTGTTGGTCCGCTCGTGTTTTCTGTTACCTGTGGACTACGACGTCACAGCACCTGAACAAAACCTGGGAGCAGGTACGAGTCCAAATATCACCTTTTTTAAAATCAAAATTTTATTTTCAACTTGTACTTTTGTAACAATATTGTAACGAAGGCATGATTTAAGCGAAATGGTCTACTCTGTTTTCTACAGTTCAAATTCAGACCAATGGTCATATTGAACATCTGATGGATGGGGAAACATTGGTTGAAGGGGATATCATTAAAAATCACCAAGTATGTATTGTATTGTGTTAGCATAAAACCTTTGAACTATACGGCCTAGGCCATTAGGCAAAATTTGATCACTGTTTTTGCGTAAAATACGCACAGTGTCAACATTTTATTAAAAATTCTTTAAGATGTACTTTTAACAAACATTGTTGTAAATTAAGTGAGAAATTTTCACCTGTTCAAGTTGGGAAAACATTGACACGATTTTATATGTTTTGATGTGATGTGTAGAAATAAAATGTGTTCTCTGTGTAGCTCACTAAAACATGAAATACCAAACCTTTTATTAGTGTGTTAGCGTGTCTTATAAATGTCTGTGGACTTTTTTCTTCAGAAATCAGCAGTTCATCATTTTCAAATGAGAATGGCGGTAACAGGTGTCAACTTAGTGTGGACTGGGCGGATAATTCCATACATCATCGATACCACGGGATATTGTATGTCCTAAAAATATTAAGATAAACAGACATCACATTCAAATATATACTTTAAAACTTGTCATTTCATCGATCTTTTGCTTATCCTATTTCAGCAGTTACAGAACTCACTGCTATAAAAAATGCATTGGGCAAAATGGCGTCCCTTCTCCAAGACTGTATAACATTCAAACCAAGGCAACAAGAGAACGATTACCTCAGAATCCAGAGAGGCCACGGGTAAGAGAAAGTTTTCCTTTACTTGGATAAGAACTATGTATATATAATGGAAGGAGGGGTGTTAGAGTGTTAGAGGAAGAAGAATATCAGAGGTATACTAGTATTTATGGCTCAGTTTTTATACCCAGGACCTGAATCCTGACTGAGAACCTCTATTTTTTAGCTGTTACAGCTCCGTGGGTAGACAGGGAGGGGAACAGAAGGTATCACTGGGCCCCGGATGTACGGAGCGTACCGGAACCATATACCACGAACTGATGCACGCGCTGGGATTCTGGCACGAGCACACACGCCCCGACAGGGATAGATATATCGTGCTCAACAAAACCAACATCATTGACAGTAAGTACTCTGTCTATATAGGACAGCCGTTGTTCAATTTGATTATTAACTGTATAATCTTAATTTCTGACTAATACGTTTTATTTCCTTGATGTAAGCAAAAATTCTGACGTGAGGGACATTGAGTTTAAAAATCTTTTACTCTAACCTTTTTTTAACTCTCCACATCAATTTGATTTCAGCTCATGTATCTGATTTCGAGAAAATGAATGAAGACGAAGTGACGATACTAGGGGACTACGACTACACGTCTGTCATGCATTACTCTCCTATCACCTTCGCCAAAGACAAAGTGAACCCTAAGGGGAGGGTGTTTACCATCAACAGAACTTGGAATAATCCGTTCCCAGAGAGCCAGGAATACAGGATTGGACAGAGGGATGGTCTTAGTACGTTGGACATACAAAAAATCCGCAAAATGTACCGATGCAGTAAGAAACTGTTCTTATCTTTCATCTTTCAAGTACTTGCCTTACATCATTTTTTTTATATAGAAAAACTACTTTAAACTGCAATTCTCTTCGTCATCTACACAGTCAAGACATTTTTCTCTCTAGGTATCAAACAGTGCAGCAATCCCGAGCCACTTATAAATGGTAAAATAGTAGGCCTTTCAGAGACTGGCAGTACCGAGGTCGGCGTGTCCATTGTATACTCCTGTAACTATCCCGGTACTATACTGGTCGGGCCCAGGAAGAGATTCTGTAAAATGGACGGTACCTGGTCAGGATTTCAGCCCCAGTGTCTTAACCCAAAAGAAGGTATCACCATATTAGAGTTCAAGTATTTGCAATATGTTATTTTGTCGAAACAAAATTGAGCCCATTTTAGTGAATGGTATATATAAAATTTATTTGCAGGATTCATACGTTTTTGCTCCTTTGATTCCAACAATTTCTGCGGCTGGACGCAAGATCCGCAAAACTCGGGAGACTGGATACTTAATAACAAAGGAACGGAGACTGAGAACACGGGTCCGACTCTTGACCACACGGCAGAGGATCATACAGGTCAGTTTACACAGAATATTATTGTATCGCTTTGCAGGTGAAATAGAATAATCAGTCATTTGTGATTTCGAAATTACGAACAGCCAACTTACGTGTAATAAATGGTCCATCTTTCAGGATACTACATTTACATGGAATCATCTCGTAGAACAAAGGGAGATAAGACCAGGTTACTCTCTCCACTCTTCCACATAAAGAACAGCACAGGACGCATGTGTTTAGAGTAAGTTTGACATTTTCTTTTATATTTAGGCGATGATCCCAAGCCAAACTCAATTTATCATGTTCCCCAAACGAAGTTGAATATGGGAACATATTGGTTTTCTGTTTCTTATTCTACCTAAAAGCTCATTTAGTGAAACTTGCTTTGTTACAGTTATGTCCTTTCCTCAAATACTTTCAAAAAATAAGTTGAAAAAAGTTTATAATACAAAGGTTTTGCATAATTTAATGAAGCTTAATGGAGCACGAAAAAGAAAAAGGAACGCATATGGGGAATGTCTGTAATGGTTTGTAAAATGCAATTGTTCTATTTCTTACTGGTTATAAAGGAAACTTAATGTAAAAATGTTATCTTATTTACAGGTTGTATTACCATATGCACGGAAAAACAATGGGTTCCCTCAATGTTTTTATACAAAATGAGGGTCTTACACAGACGTTCCAGTCTTTCTCGATCTCTGGAGACCAAGGCTCTCAGTGGAAACACCTAGAAACCAACTTCACCAACCCAAACGTTCCCTTCAAGGTAAATAAAACCCTGGATGTAGCATTTTATTTGTAGGAATGATGGTGTTCAACTGGCGTTAATTTTAAGAGAAGACAAATTTTGTCCCTCAAATTAATAGTTTAGAATTAAATGCCAATAAAGAGTTTGTAAATGTATTACCGTTAAAGGAATTACATCTAAGATGGTCTCAAAGATTTCTTTATTCCATGATTCTTTGACAGATTGTACTGGAAGGAGTCGTAGGACCAAATTTTCTGAGTGACATTGGAATTGATGACGTCATCATCATGGACTGTAGTCTCGGGCCAGGAGATCAAACCAAAACCCAAGGAGGTCAAGAAATTCAAATTATCCCTAATCAAATCCCTTTTAGAAAAAACTCTCTTCAAAAAATATTGATCCCAAATCCTGTCTACAATTACCCTTACCACCCAGGACTTAAAATTTTACGTCCAATATTTCAGACAAAAAATATTTTTCGAAAATATGTCTAAGCGTTTGTTGAAGCTGATATTTTACATGGTGCCATATTTCTATTTTACAAATTAAGATTCTTTTTTATTGGCGTTAAGTGCCTTACATATTTATATATTGTACATATTTTTGCTATGTTATTATGAATGTTGCTGTTGTTGTTTTATGCTTGACTTTTTATCAAATAAAATTTAATTGTCCTCACAAAGTTATACTCAAATATATTTATATTTCGGTTGAATGAAGTTACGAGTTCAAGTAATGATATAAAAGCAGGTAACGTCTTCCAATATGTATAGAACTTTTTCTCCATCATTTAAATATACAGATAGCTGTATGGTTACCTAACCTCTAGAATGTAAAAGTGAAGCCAGAGCCAACATAGATCCTCCTTATAAACACTGGTAACCAATCATTCAATGAATAAAAATTTCCCCTTTCTGGATATTAGCTAAAGACGAATTAATTTTTTAAATCTTTAATTTTTCGTTTGTTCATCATTCTTGGAGACATCTAAACCGAGAAAGAGGCCAAACGTATATTTATCTAACACAACTTTTACTTTAGCCAAAACCACAAGTAGTTTTAGTATACTCAATGTATTTGAACTATATTTATTTACATTTCCTACTGATTCAGAGCCACGTTAAAAGTAATCACATTTTTTCTTAGTATACTCCATGCATTTGAACTATATTTATTTAAATTTCCTACTGATTCACAGCCAGTAAAAGTAATCACATCATTTCTTATTTCTTCTTTCTAGCATTTTCTTTTAAACGGCCAAGAAAATTTCCAAACATGAAAATCTTCCCTTTTGATTGTTTTAACTAGTGTTACCTACACTTTAAACTATTTGAAGTCCTACAATGAATTTTGTGAGGCGGGAGCTATGAATTTGGAAAGTAAAATTAAATAGATTGTTACACTGAGAAATAAATAGTGGTCGTTTAAATTGTTCTAACGCTTGGCCAAAGGAATCGGGGGCGTGGGCACAATGGAACCTTTCCTATTATCTTCCAACACTTTTTTAAAATAGAAAATCTGGTGTTCATAATACCAATTTTCTATTTTAATAATTTGTGGGAAGACACTATGTTTTCTCTTGTAATGATTGGGTTGTCTATTGTAACCCCACTCTAACACCAGAAGTCATGACGTGAGGAAACGTAAATCTACATGCACTAGCTGATCCTTCCATATACGTAAATTGTTGTTATTGAGAAGATTTTTGAAAATTTTCCCATGTATTCCTATGTAAAAACTTCCATTGCGGTCCTAACTTACCGATGGGGGTCATGATTTGAACAAATTTGAATCTACGTACATCACCTGAAGATGCCTCAAAAATAATGTATGACTAACCATGGCTTTGTTGTTCTGACCAGAAGATTTTAAAGAATTTTCCTATATATCCTTTGTCAAAATCTTTTTATATAGAGTGTTTCATAGTGCCCCCCCCCCCCTGGTCGTGACTTGAACAAATTTGAATCTATATTATGTCAGGAGGTTTTCATACAATTTTTATATTTGATTCAGTGGTGTGGTTCTTGAGAAGATTTTTAAATAAAATTACACAGCTTTTACCATTTTTTGATTATCCCACCTGAAAAGAGGGATAATCGATTGGGTCTTCTTTTAAACAAACTTTGGTTCCCTTTATCCAAGGATGCTCTGTGACAAGTTTGGTTGAAAATTTTTCCAGTGATTCTAGAGAGGATGTTGTATCAAATTTAAATATTAAGCTTAGTATGATAAATGAAATAACTCATTAACATTATAAGCATTTTTACCATTTTACCGAAGTATTTGTATTTTTCTGAGATTTTTTTCTATTCAAGGTAGTAATTTATTGACTCTTCCTCGAATTTATAGACCAATTCATTTCAGGAATTAACTTTTCCCTAGTATATATTTGTTCCACAACATTTTTAAATCACTTTTTTCAAAAAACTCGACAAAACAAGAAAGCCCTTTTCATTTGCAGCCGTAATGAAGAAATATTTCGATTCTGAATAAAACATTAATTTTTTATACAGTTTACAAGTGTGATTTTCTCTCCGGATTCTGTGGCTGGACACAGGAGACGACGGACATTGCGTGGCAGATTAACTCGGGGGACACGCCCACTATCTTTACCGGGCCGGAATGTGACCGCACGGATTGTCAAAACGGTATCCAACTCAACAATTTGAGCCAATTTGGAAAACAATGACAATGCACATCAAAACTTCAACTTAGTTCTTAGAAATATAAATTACAACTTCTAAATTTGATCTTTCTAAATGAAGGGGAAAATTGACACAACATGCATAACAAATCTTTTCAGGAACATATCTTTATATAGAAACGTCTGGGACAAGTGCACCGGGAAGCGAAGCAACATTGAGGTCCCCGTTACTCCAGGTAAAACTCCTAAAGAGAACATAAAATAGCTTCAAATAACTCACGCCTCTATTGATGCTTAAACCCTCAAATGATACGCTGTTTTCAACAGAGGAGTGGAGACTACTGCCTAACCTTTTTCTACAGTATGTATGGGGCTGATATTGGTGAGCTTAGAGTAGAAATAGAGGATGGTGTCAACAAATCTACAGAGTGGATAAAACAAGGTGACCAAGGCAACGGGTGGCACAGTGCGATGGTTCCAATATCTGGCCAGGGAGGCTTCTGGGTAGGGCATTCAATCAGTCTCTTGTTAAATTTATATATCTTTGAATTTTATTTTTTTTTTCCAATTTCTTTGGTTGAAAAGATATATGGAGAAAGCGAATACAGTTGTAGTGTTCAAGATCAAAACTCCATTTAAACAATCAAACAATAAAAATCAGGAGCAGAGCAAACACGGATCTCTAAAGTATCAGAGGTGAGATAAGGTGCCATACGGGAGTGTGCTTCCATTGCCGACCGGTCTCTCTCACCATGTGTACCTTGTCATCATCAGGGACAGGGAAGAACGGAAAAATCTGTCGGCAATACCGTGTGTAAATATGGCCAAACAAACATTAGTATGAATAAGTCTATTAGCAGTGCTAGAGACTTAATGATAAATTGTATGTGCTGTTAAGGTCATTGTATCTACCTTAGAACTTGCAAATTGATGAATTCAAACGAGACTGTTAATATTATATTCTTGGTTCATGAACTAGTTTGTAAAGGACTTTGTTTTAGAAATTGTTCTTGTATAGGAAATGCAAATTAAATCAACTGAGAGATACACACGAGTATGTAGATGATAATGGTGATAATGGTATATTACTACATATAAGTAAGGGAAGTTGATGACTGAAAAGTTGAAGTCTTATCGTTTATCATAAAACTATGTAGTCAGGTTATCAATAAAGTCTTATGTAAAACAAAAAATCAGATGTATCAGAAATCAGAATTTATGGTATCTTTGATTTTAAGCTCATGCAATGGGAAATATCGAATCGAAGTAACTATTGTTAACTGACAATACGTCCTTGATATATCTAAATTTCGATTTGACGGAAAAAGCAAATGGTTTCTTCTTTTCATGTAACTTCTGTTTCATATGAATGCAAAAATAAGTCTGCAAATAACAGTCATTCGGTTGTTTTCGAGTAAACCCCGAATTTTCAGTTGCATGGCAGAATAAAAATTCCTCAATTTTCGCTAGAGATACAATGCAGAAGAACAAAGAATTGAAATAATTAGAATCCACAGGGTCTGACACATCTGTTTCATATTTGGATATTTTACTTGAGAAAGACATTAATGGTAATCTATGATAAACGTCATGACTTTAACTATAACTTCTCTTATGCAAGAATATACCTTCATCACCTGCATACGGAGTTTATACAGCTCAACAAACTTTTTAAACTCACATGGTTTTTCGCACAAATTAAGGTCACATTGTTATGGTGTAATATTGTGTATCGAGACAACAAAATACATTTTAAAAGTATTTGTTTACATAATTTGAGTTTTATTTCATCTACTGAAAATAATCCACACAAATCAATTGGTAGAACTTTGATATATTCATGGCTGAAAATAAGGACTATTCTCATTTGAATTTTTGTAGTTTCTTGCCAAATGTAACTGTTTTTTTATCCGTTCTTTTGAAAGCAATAGCTCTTGGCAGAGACGTCGACATGGGTACAGTACAGCTACTGTAACTTGTATTTTCTGTACATTTTGACTCTTTAACTCGGGGTGGTTATAGTATTTTTCATCTGTTTGCCTATTTTCTATGTTAATAAGGTTGGGTTTTTAAGAGTCAACTTCTAAAATCCAGAACCATGAAAGATTCAACACACAACAAAATTTTAACGTTTCAAACCGTAAATGCAGCAGAATTTTCCTTTTCATAGAAGGAATTCACCATTCAAAAAAAATAAACAATACTTCATTATCCCACCCTTTAGTGTGGTTTCCTTTTGCAATATTATCCCTTTTCGGCGCTACATTTCAACGAAACCAAGAGGAATATGGTAAATAAGCAAAGATTTTTTTTTAAAAACTCACCTTTAAAAAGAAAATTAAAAAATTTCAACTACATGGGATCAAGGAAAGCTCGTTTTATACTATTTGTAAAAACCTATGGTAGAATGGTACAGTTGAAACATCCTACCATTAATTATAAATTTTCCTTTAAAATATCCACTTTGGAAACTTAAGATAATAATTTTAAAAGACATTTATGCTTGACATCATATATGTAATATACTGAAGGGTTATGCTATTGTGCTGCAGATCGAAAAGGGTAATTTTTATTACAACAATGTGACCTTAATTTGTGCGAAAAACCATGTGAGCTTAAAAAGTTTGTTGAGCTGTATATCTCAGTTGATTCGATACGCAAGAGCATGCTCTACAAATAAACAATTTCTTAAACGAGGTATATTGTTGACAAACAAATTGCTTGAACAGAGAATATCAACAGTCTCGTTCAAAGTCGTCATTTCGTAAGTTCTATGGTCGATTCAATGGCCTTGTCAGCAAATACAATTTATCATTGATCCAAATGCTGATTGACGTTTTCATACTAATTGTTAGTCCATCATTTATACACCGAATTGACGACGGATTTTACCGTTATACCCCGATCATGACAAGGAGCACACGGAGGGTGTGACCGGTCGGCGGGGGATGCTCACTTCTTAATGGCACCTGATCCCACCTCTGATGTTTTGGAGGTCCGTTCTTCTACTATTTTTTATTGTTTTATGGACTTTTTGATCTTGAATACTTTCGTTATCTCCATTATGCTCCATTTTAATCTTTAACTTTTCGGGATTGATCACTACGTTGTTGAAGTATGTTGCGGGTGGGTTTTGTTTACAATAAAAAAAGATCTAGACATTATCATTAACCATATATCCAATGACAATTTGGAACAGAGGAAAAACCTTTGGAAACATATTGCATCATTAGTGTCTAAGAGTGGTAAAATCTGTCGATCTCTTACATCAAAGACACGTTATAAATACCTTTTTGAAAAGTCCTTAAAAATACAATTGAGTCTTTTTCGAATTAACTGGGATTTATTAAATCAAAATGCAAATGGAAATATCTTTTTGAGAAAACGTCTTTCACCCAATTCCTTATCTAGTCTTAAATTTGTTTTCATAAGGTACTATTTGTGGGAAAGAAGGGCTTTGGATACCGTGGGGACATTGCCATAGACGACGTCACAATTACAGAAAATAAATGCAAGGTTGGTGAGTACTTGCATTGTCTTTTAAAACAATGCTTGCTGCTCGGAAAATGAGCACGATGAAAAAAAAGATGTCTCTACAGTAGTTCAAAAATCATGTACAAAATTGTTATGTCATGTACAATTTTTTTGACATTGGTAAATATGTTGAGATGAAAAAATTATTGAATGCAAATAATTTTACGCATTTACAACATCGATTCGTTTTAATTCCAGATGCCTCCTGTGACTTTGATAGCGGTTTTTGTGGATGGCAGAATGATGTGTTTGATGACTTTGATTGGTCAAGAATGAAAGGGTCAACTGCCACACCTAACACCGGCCCTAGGGCGGATCATACGTCTACTGAAGGTAAATAATGGTACATCTTAACATGGAACCAGGGGGCGGATCTTAGGTTTTCTGATAGTAAACAATGGTTTAATAGTAATGCGTGGATGAAAATTCTTATCTCAAGTTTTTTTTAGGCAAGATTCACGTGAAAAGGGTCGCCTTAAGAAGAACAGTTAGACAGAACTGGAGTTCCAGTATTTTATTTGGAAGATCTGGTTTCCAAATACTTGATGTTAATATTTAGTTACTTGGAGATAATAGCAAACAGATCAGCTGATAAAAAAAGCACAATTAGTGCCGATCAGAATTCAAAAGCTTTTTTGTTTAGAAAACTTGGGTCTCCAAAGACTTAATAAATGTTGTCTTGACTTGAACTTCATTATCCTTTTGATATTAGCTTAAGAGTACTTGTGAGTACAATCAGAGTGGTTTTCAACAAAGTTACTTTGGTGATGTAGAATCGCAATCACACTTTCAATTTTTAGAAATATTTTTTTAGCTATTAAAATACGGTAAGTTCTTTAGTGTTTTTGAGGATCTACATTTTATTTACACCACTTAACACAGTCATTCTGAAGTTTCACCTTTAAAACTAAGTAAGAAGTAAAGATAGGGGCTTGGTATGGCATTTGCTGGACCCAGCAATGTCTCGTATTTTGTTTGTGAAGTTAAGAAAGTAGATCAAACTCACCATGGCTGATTTTGAAGATCTTTTTTACATGTCGTTTCTTCCGGAACCATATAACACATTATTCATGTAGTTTCTCTTTCATCACTTCAAGTTCAGTGAAAATGGACGCAAAGTTGGTTCGCATCTTTGATATGTCTAAAGCACTTTATCCATTCTGAAAAAAAATTCAAGTTTGCACTAATTATTAACTTTTACTACGCAACCATGGAAATATTCTAACTCATCCCATGGTTGTTCATGAGAACGTGAACAGTTTCTAATTTACTAACTTCTAAACGTTGATAATGCAAAGATATCAGCAATCTGGTTTGGCGTCATCATTTCGCTAATAACGTGGTCGACACTCGATTCAAGATCAATAGTCCATAAAACAATACAAAATAGGAGCAGAGCAAACACGGACCTTCAAAACATCAAAGATGGGATTAGGTGCCATGGAAGAGTGAGCATCCCTTACCGACCGGTCATGCCCGCCGTGTGCTTCTTGTCATGATCGGGAAATAACGGGAAAATCCGTCATCAATTCAGTGTATAAATAATGGACTAACAATTAGTGTGAAAAACGTCAGTCTGAATACTCAATGATAAATTGTATTTGCTGACAAGGTCATTGTCTGGTGTACATGTATCGACCGTAGAACTAAAGAAATGACGACTTTAAACGAGAATGCTGATATTCCTGTTTCATCAACTTGTTTGTCAATAATTAACCTTGTTTAAGAAATTGTTAATACGTAGAGCATGCTCTAGCGTATCGAATCAACTGAGATATATAAACCCCGTATGCAGTATGCGTTAAAGTCATCAGGTTCATCATTTAGCTTGGTTGGTAGATTACCATTAACATCTTTTCCAAGTAAAATATTCAAATATGAAACAGATGTATCAGACTCTGTGATATCTTTCATCTCAAGCTCACCAGCTAGGATACATCGTATCGACATAAGAATGAAAATTACCATTGTTAACTGAATGTTTGACATTTGTCCTAAAACACTGCCCCTGTTCCACAGGTTATTACCTCTACATAGAGAGCTCGGCGCCCCGAGTGACGGGAGACACGGCTCGTATTTACTCCCCCTTCATCACGAGCTACAACCCAGTGTCCTGCCTGGTCATACATTATCACATGTTTGGAGAGCACGTGGCACACTTACATGTACTCCTAGTCACTATTGAGGGCCATGAACAAAGTATATGGAAGCATTTCGGAAATCATGGCGATGTGTGGCACAAAGCCACTATCCATCTCCCTCCAATGCAAACCGACTATCAGGTACGTGAGATTTAAAGAACCATAATGCAAAAAGATGGTCAGGACAACCATAGCAAACAGAATATCAGGTATCTAGATTTAAATAACCATACAGCAAACAGATTGTCAGATACAAGAACAACCACGAGACTAAAACAACCATAGCAAACAGATATTATCAGGACAACCATAGCAAACAGAATATCAAGAACGTGAGGCTAAGATGACCATAACGAACCGAATATCAGGTACTCGAGACTAACATAACCATAGCAAAAGATAATGAGGCATACGTGAGACATATAATTATAACCAATGCAAACAGATTATCAGGTACAATAACCATAGCTGGATTTGTACAAAAATCTGGCAAGAAATGAGGACGACATGTTTATACATGTATATTTGTTGCCAAATAGCATACATGTATATTTTTATACATCGAACGCTTTTTTTCAATCGCTAAAATCTCTAATTAAAGAAAGACAAAGTTACAAAATAAGAGACAATCTATTCATGTTCCTGCTTCATTCTAATGAAATAAAATACGTATGTTGCTCAGGAAAGGTTTAATGACTGAAAACCCTATATTAAGGCTCTAAACGAATATAATATGATAGATATAACCTCTGAAGTTTTTCAAGGGAGCAATTATAATTATTAGAAAATATGCGATGAATTTGATAGAAAATTTATTTAAAATTACCTCAAATATTAAGACCGACTTTTAAAATCTATAATGCAAAAAAAGCTGAAAAAATATTTTAGAATCAATTGCACAAAAATTTCCCTCTAAAAATTTTGACCCCCTAGTATATTATTATATACTAGGGGGTCAAAAATTCAAGCGAGTTTGGTGACTGTGCTCAAGTCAACCAACAATTTAATGTTAATATTTACTAACTACAACATATATGTATATATATATATATACAATACAAGCAAACTTTTTTTTTTAAATATTGTATTTCTACATTATTGCGACACACTGTTGATTACCTGCTGTTTAATAAAGAATTTTAATGGTGTGACTAATTGACAACTTTGTTGTTTTAGATTGTGATTGAGGGTGTTGTCGGGGATTCCTACACCGGTGATATTGCAGTGGATGACATTTTAATGTACCAATCGTGTTATTAATGAATATTTGTGTCGGAAAACACTGCTTCTTTACTATAAGCTTTGACCCCTACCTAAGAAGAAACCACTAACACTATATGTACAGTTATCTCAATAGCTATCCTCCAAACTGTAACAGACCCATTGCCTGCTATTCCTATTTTTTTTTAATTGAGATTGACCCTTTTTAGCCTTCTCTTTGATAAAGGAATCCTCGTGAAGTCGCAAAAAATATATCAACATATTCCTCAGATTTTTTTTTTCTCATGTATACACTGTATAACAGTCTAGGTTTTTCTTTTTTAAAAATTTTCAAATGTTTTCATCTTTTTATACATTATATCCTTGGTCTCTGCCTTTAAACTTGGCCAATTTTAAGATATAAAATTTATCAACAGACTGACATGCTGCAGGTAATGGACAACTGGAACCCCCCTCCCCCTGAAAACGAGACTTGTGCGCCTTATTATCTTTACAAGACACAACGTCTAGACTCCTGCATACCCACCACCCCTATCATTTAAACTTTACATGAGACTTCTAGATTCATGCTCACCCCAACCATCGCCATGCATATAAACATAAGAAATGTCTAGACTCATGCTTGTCTCCCAGTCACTGCCAACTGCCAACTTAACATGAGACAGCTAGACTCGTGCTTACCCCAAGTATTGTCATCTGTTCCCTAAACACCGTCTAGACTCAGGGTAAAATGTAATTTTCAACCTTTTTTGCACATCTACAGACCATGCCAATCATCTTACAAAAGACGAAGTGGCTTAAATAACTGCATAAAATGTTCCTTGAAAAATACCTATTGAAATATATTACGAACAGTATGGTAGTATGACAACCAAGCTCTATGATAAACGTGATGACTTTAACTTTCCTATCGTCAACTTCCCCAACTTATGCAGCAATATACCTTCATCATATGGAGTATATATATATATATATATATATATATATATATATAATATATATATATATATATATATATATATATATATATATATATATATATATCGATACGCAAGAGCATGCTCTACGTATGAACAATTTCTACAACGTATAGGTAAATATTGACAAACAAGTTGATAAAACAAGAATATCGGCAGTCTCGTTTAAAGTCATCTATGTCAGAACTTCGTAAGTTCTATGGTCGATACGATGATCTTGTCAGCAAAACAATGGATCATTGAGTCAAATGCTGGCTGACGTTGTTCATACTTATTGTTCGTCCATTTTTATACACAGAATTGTTTTTTTTCTGATTTTTCCTTTATTTCCCGATCATGACAAGGAACACACGGCGGGTGTGACCGGTCGGTAGGGGATATTCACTCCTCCATGGCACCTGATCCCACCTCTGATGTTTTGGAGCTAGGTCCTTGTTTGTTCTGCTCCTGTTTTGTATTGTTTTATGGACTTTTGATCTTGAATACTGTTTGTTATCGCCATATATTTCATTTAAGCTAAAAGTATGTGTCCTGTTAAACAATACAGATTAGGAACAGAGCAAACGTCGACCTCCAAGCATCAGAGATGTGAAAATGTATCATGGGGGAGTAGCCATCCTGGAGTCGATCGGTCACACCAATTGTTTGCTTCTAGTCTTGATCCCCCCCCCCATCCCGGGAAAAATCTGTGTACAATTCAGTGTGTGAGAATGGCCTTAGTGTGAGAAACGTCCATTAGCATTTCACTTAATGATAGATTGTTCACAAATGACAAGGTCATTGTATTGTCCAATATCCATATAGAACATATGAAATTAAATTTTAGCTAGGACTGTTGATATTCTTGTTTCATCATATGTATTGCGCCCCACTATAAGCAGACCTATATTTGAATCGATATGTTTCATATTTGGTTATTTTACTTGGAAAGGACGTTAATGGTAATCTAACAACCAAGCTATATGATAAACGTGATGACTAAAACTTTTTAATTGTCAACTTCCTTTACTTACGCAGCAATATACGAGGGACGTTCAATAAATAATGTCATTAGCTCGATGACATACAACATAGAAATCATATGACATTAAGCTAGATTTTCTCTCATTATTGAATCTTTAATGAATTGATAACAGTTTATGTGACCACTTTTCATCACATAGTTTCATCGTGAGAAGCTGGGAAACAAGGGCTATTCGAGACACTGCATTGTAAATGAATGGTAAAGAATCAGTAAACTAGAGTGAAAATAAAAGCTTCATTAAAGCTGCTGTAAAACGTGTTAAAAATCCCAAAGAAATTTTCACTGAAATATGTGACATTTACATCAACCAATGCCTGTTTTATAGATAAATAAGCAAGTGGATTTCAATGATCAAAAATTATATAATGGGCATCAAAAATGGGTACCGTCCTTGCCAACAAAAATTATAACAACTTATGTACTATTTGCCCAATTTCAACAAATAATATCTGATGATGTATGACTGACTTTAAGACACATAGCAAAGAAAGTGGGCGCTTTAGATGGCGATTCGGCAGGAATAGTGGCTCATAAAAAGAATAAAAAAATATCATTTATTCATACATTTTTTTCAAAACCTTGCAAATTACTGTGTTGTAGGTTAATGTAAAATGGGCAAATATTTAGTTAAAAATGTTTAATCTTATTTAAATATGCACCTGAATATAGCCGTACGAGTCAAATGATGCAAAAATCGACTCTTTTATAACCGTTTTTCATTAATTTTGTTGTTTCTGGGTCTTCTCTCCATGAATTTTAGATGTGTTATCAGTGAATTTTTAACCGTAAAATTTATTCCAGTTGTTTAAAAAATGGAGAGACGACCCAGAAATACCAAAATCTAAACTTTTTACATTTATTTTCTGGTAGAAAATTGACAAAGTCCAAATGTATAGGGCTTTGGCTTTAAATAATGATTTAAATACCAGCTACGTATAGTGTTCCGCGGTAGCTACATTGGTTTGTCGCTGGATTCGAGCCATATCGAAGCAGTATTTTAGGTTCGAATACAGTGTTTTCTTTTATTTTTCTTTGAGCTTGAAATTTTTGGAATTTTAAATACTCCTTGAATGAAGTAGCAAATTATGTTGTATAAATTATTTTACATTGTTTTATTTTTCAATGCGTTCACAATTTGTCATTTATAGTGCTAACGTTCTCAAATGGAAATAAACATACAAGAACTTGTAACTACAAAGTTACACTTGATAAAAAATATTGAATATATTTAAAAAAAAAAAACTAGCAACTTCGATTGTTCTGTTACATTCAATATTTTCAGTGCACTTAAAAACTGAGCACAAAAATTATTTAGTGTTAGACTTCTATTACAGTGTATATTCTATTACATGTAAATGTACAGCTGATGTATCCAGCATACATAATATTAGACAATTTATCTTTCTTGACACCTTTTAATTGAAAAAAAATATCTACAAATAAACAAACATAAGACAGAAATCCATTCCCATGCAGTTTCTATAAGATGTATAAGATATGCATTAAAACTACATGGTGCCTGGACATTTAAATCTGAATTGTTTCGTGTCAATGACTCCTGCCGACTGCCCATCTAGTGCGCCCACTTTCAAAGTTTGATATACATCATATCGGGCGTAGTTTACAATGTTTTTAAGAAACGTTTGATGGTAAAAAAGCTTGGTACTCAAAGATCACCCTATATTTTGTAAAATGAGTGAAAACGACAGCGTGTAGGAATGTCTTAACAATTATTTTAAAATATCAGTAACTGTAGTTATCCAAGTTTGTTTCATATTCAAACAGATAATGGAACATGAATCTATTGCTTAAAACACTCAATACAAAATTTACCATAAGATGTACTTGATAAAAACAGCAATGGTCCGACAAGAGCAAAGGTATGCAAGAACACAAAGACAGATTTATTTGCAATTTTCTTAAATATTAGTGGTACTGTTGTTCAATTTCGTATTCGGGGAGACAGTTTAATTTTTGTAGGAGTCTAGAAAGCAATCTTTTTGCAAAAAAATCGAAAGGTTTATTAGAGGAAGGACCTAGAATCACCAATCCACTACATTAAATTTCTTCATGACAGCGTCCAAACCCTGCACCCCTGAAGAGTAAAGGGGTTTTCGGGATAAAAAGAAAGTTAATATTTTTCACATTAACAATATTTGCCAGATCTTTTACCTTTTGACTTGTTTCTATTTCCAAACTTAAAAAAAACCACCTTTCAGAAAGAAAAAAAACAAGTCCAGGAAATCATTGGATCTGCTTTTTTCCAGTATACTAAGGGTCATACCCAAAAATGTGTTCTAAATACAATCAGAAATTAAATAAAACCTTTAACGGACATCTATTTTAATCAAGAGATTAATAAGTAAAATCATGAAGACTAAATCATTAAAAAGCGTCTTTTGCTTCTTTCCGAGCCCCGATGACATTATTTATTGAACGTCCCTCGTACCTTCATCACCTGGTTACGGAGTTTAAATCTCTCAGTTGAACATGCTCTACGTATTCATTAATTTCTAAGACGAGGTAAATTATTGACAAGTTAATAAAATAAGAATATCAGCAGTCTCGTTTAAAGTAATCGTTTAGCAAGTTCTATGGTCGATACAATGATCATGTTAGAAAATTCAATTCATCATCAAGTCAAATGGCGACAAACGTTTTTCTTACTAATGGTTAGTCTATTATTAGCACACTGAATAGAGGACGGATTTTTTCCGTTATTTCCTGATCATGAGAAAGAGCACACGACGGGTGTGACTGGTCGGCAGGAGATGCTCACTCCTCCATGGCATCTGATCCCACTTCTGAGGTTTTGGAGGTCCGTGTTTGCTTTGCTCCTACTGTATTTGTGTTGTTTTATGGACTTTTGGGCTTGAATACTATTCGTTATCTCCAAATATTTCATGAAGCAGAATTTGTTCGAAATCTTTTACGTGAAAAGAAGAAAACACTTGCTTCGCCTTCAAATATGCATTTAAATATATCAATGACGTATTGTCAATTAACAATCGTTATTTCCATTCTTATATCGACACGATATATCCCAGTAAGCTTGAAATAAAAGATACCACA